AAGTGCCGGTGGAGAAGTGTAGTGACAAGGTGACTGTCTGGACACAGGCCTGATAGGACTCGGAGAACAGCTCATGCCTGAACTGGTGCAGAGTCCTTCTGACTGCTGGCTTTCTTTTGCACACAGAACTGAGAGAGGCTGCATGCCAGGAATTTCAAAGGGAACATTTAAGGCAGAGTTGTCGGTGACAACATGGAAGCAGCCATAAACACGCAGAGGTCACTGAAGACGAGCCCAGGGCCAAGAGAGAGGGTGCCTAAGGGAAGGACAGCCCGGCAGGGGCCCCACCGCAGGCCTGGCATTAGGTGTGCCTGCCACCCACCGAGGACCGGAGCTCCCGGGGCTTCCGGGCCAGAGCGACCCCACTGGTCACAGGCCACACCCCTCAGGGGCACAGGCAGCTAAGGCCAACTTAAAAGCAGCGGGGGAATGAGATGTCCACTGGGGGTCTGAAAGCTGTGGCAGGTTCCCCATGCAGGGCCATGCCCGTGCCCGTGCCCAGGGCGGCCCCGCGGAGGCCCTGGCGCCCACCCCGGGTTGACCTGGAGGCCCTGGCTGAGCACCGAAGGCAGGTCCGCACACACAGGGCCCCTTGGCAAGGACCAGGAGACAGACCGGCCTCTAAGGAAGTCTCTGTCCCGTCACCAGCTGACCACTAAGCGAACCAAGCAGATGCCTCGCGGCCACACACAACAAAGAATACATACACTTGGCAGAATTTGCTCAGAAAAGCCACTAAACAAACAGGAACAACAAACAGCAAGAAGGACGATGGCCGGGACCCTGATGGCCGGGAGCGCGCGTCTCCCCTGTGGCACAGAAGCAGGCCATGTGCCCTGTTGAAGTTTCCGTCTCCGTTGCACGAAGGTCAGCTCGCAGGTGCAGAGGGAGTGCTGTAAGCTGTGCTGAGCCAGGCGTCCGAGACTCTCTCGTCATTAAGCGCCAAGCCCACCCCTCTCTGCTGGCATCGGACGCTGGAGCTGGGCCTTGCAGACTTGCCAGCACCTCTGCCCACAGGGGGCTGCGCTGGCTCTTGTCGGGCAGCAGGGGTGGACTGCAATGTCCCGACAGCACCCTCCTCGCCGGCCGTGCCCCGGCAGCCCTCACGCTCAGACCCACCGGCCTCCTTCTCTCTGTGCTGACAAAGTATCCTCCTCGTCTGCCTTCCCTCCCTCCCCCTCTGCTGCAACCTCCTTGGGTCCCACTAGTGCTCCTTTGGTCTAGTTAATGATTCCTTACACCAACTTCTCCTGTGCAAATCAGATGTGTTTTCCATCTCCTGATGCATCCTGACTGCACAGAGTAAGACCCTGAAGCCACTGTCACCACGGAGAAGAGTTCACAGTCACTTCGGACACTCCACGACTGTTGGCATCTCCCCATCCCCCTCCTAAGGCCTCTTCCTCTCCCCTCTCCAGGCACGTGCTCCCTCCTGGCCTGTCTTCTGCTCATCCTGACCAGCCCCCAGGCAGCTGAGGCCGGGCCAGGAGGCACCAGAAGACCCGCCTCAGGCCCCTGGGAAGCTTCTGCCACTCCAGCAAGGGCTGTGGGGTGAGACTGCGCTAGTAACACAGGGGACCCCGCTTAGCAGAGTGAAGAGCAATGGACACACGTCAAGGGATTACAGCTGGAACGCAAGGAAATACACTTTATTACTACTTGTTTTTAGGTCAATTGCGTGTCCCATCACATTACAAGAGGAGCTCCACCTGACTGTGGGCAAGTCGTTTGATGTGTATAAACCTTCCTTCCTTGTGAGTAAGATGGTGAGCTCACAGAATCCCCATCCGGGTCAAATAAGGAGATATATTGTGGACAGCGAGCAGACGCCGTTCGGATAAACACTGCTCTCTTCCAACATGAGAGACACACCAATTCCACTCTGTATCTCATTCTTTCGTTACGGTGTGAGAGCACTAACAGCAAATACCTGCATTCTCACTACATTTTTGTTCAAGGTAAAAGAACAGTAAAAGACGCCCAAGACCCTCCTAAGAACAGTCAACGGATCTTTGACGAAGGAGCGAAGACTGTCTCCTCCACAAATGGTGCTGGAACCACAGGACACTCGCATGCAGAGCACGTGAATCTGGACACAGACCTCACACCCTTCAGAACAGTAACGCAGAATGGATCACAGATCTGGGTGTAAAATTTAAAACCACAGAACTCCTAGACGGTAGCACAGGAGAAACCTCGGTGGCCTCGGGCCTGGGGACGCCTTTGCAGGTACAAAGATCCATGGAAGAAAGACTTGATAACCTGGACTTCACTAAAAGTGAAACGTCTGCTCCGCAAAAGGCAACATCAAGAGAGTGGAAAGACAGCCACAGACCAGGAGAAAACATTTGCAGAAGACACATCTGATAAAGGACTAACACCCCGAATACACAAAGAGCTCATAAAATTCAACCATAAGAAAACAATCTGATTAAAAAATAGACCCAAGGTCTTAACAGACATTTTACCAAAGAAGATACACAGGTTTGACAAGCAAGCATATGAGAAGACGTTCAGCACCATACATCCCAAGGAAATGCAAATTAAAACAGTAAGACACCACTACACACCTGGAACACGAGCAAAACCCCTGAACACTGACACCACCAAATGGGAGCCAAAATGTGGGACAACAGGAACGTTTATCATGGCTGCTGGGAACGCAAAGTGGTGCAGCCACTTCAGAGGACAGTTTCCTACAAAACTAAACATAGTCTTACCATGTGATCCAGCAGTCGAGCTCCCAAAGGAGCTGGAAACTTACGTCCACACGAAAACCCGCACACAGATGTTTACAGCAGTTTTATTCGTCATTGCCAGAACCTGGAAGCAGCCAAGATGCCCTTCAGCAGGTGATGGATAAATAAACTGTGGTCCCTCCAGACAGTGGAACGTTATTCAGCACTAAAGAGAAATGAGCTGACACGGCATGAAAAGACACGGAGGAACCTTAAATGTAGATTCCTAAGTGACAGAGCCCGTCTGAAAAGGCTGCAGACTGTCGGATTCTGACTCTGTGACATTCTGGAAAAGATGAAACTACGGGGAGAGTGAAGAGACCAGCGGGGCTGGGGGGGAGAACGGGCAGGCAAAGAGGATGTCTAGGGCAGTGACACGGCTCTGTGACCCTGTAGCGGTGGACACATGGTACACGCTTGTCCACGCCCACAGGATGCACGGCACCAAGAGTGACCCATCGTGAGCCGCAGGTTCCGGGTGACGACCTGTCAGTGCAGGTTCGCTGGCTGTGACACAGGCGCCCTCTGGTGGGGGTGCTGATGGCGGGGGAGACTGTGTGTGTCTGAGGGTAGAAGGTATGTGGGAAATCTCTGTGCCTTGCTTTCAATTGTTTTAAACCTAAAACTGCTCTAAAAAATAAAGTCTTAAAAGAAAAAAAGAAGCCCAAGGCTTGAATCATGAATCTGCTTAATCCTGACAGTTGAACCTCAGACAAGTCACTTAACCCCTCGAGGACTGGTCACCTCACCTGGAGACCAGGGAGCTCCTGAGCTCAGAACCCCGCCGCCAGGGATGTGAAGCGGCGCAGTGCTCTATGGGGCACAGGCGGGGCTCTTCCTACTCTGGCGAACAGGCCGGAGGGTGCGCTGCAGTCCGGTGAGAACCGCGCAAACGCCGTTGCTTCTTCAGCGTTTGATTATTCATTTACACTGTGGCAATGGAGAAAGGTCACTTGCAGGACATGTACTCAAAGAGGCAGTGAACTCCCCAGTTTCACAGAACATTTCTGCCACCTTCCAGGGCCTCCCCTCCCCAGCCTCCCCCCCCCCCGCCCCTGAACAGACAAGCCCAGGCTGAAGCAGGTGGCCCGGGGGGAACATTCTGGAAGGAGACCCCAGCCTGTGCGGCTCGGACTGCGGGAACTGGCGGGAGGCTGCACACCGGCCAGGACTCCTGCTAGCCCGGCCAGCTTAGGAATTCAGTCAAAACCATATGATTACAACCATGTTTATAAAAGCGAAAACCTGTGCTTAGATACACTGCACACTGTTTCACGGTCGTCTGGCGAGGCAAACAATGGGACATCTGTCCTTTCCTCCACCTTTAGCTTTCTTTGAGTATGTTTTATAATGAAAAATAACAAGCCTTGGGAAAGGGAGGGCTCTATGATGGAACATTCATCAGACTCTGCAGCCCCAGCCCCACAGCCTTCCTCCACCTCTGACCCCACCCCAACCAGCCAGTGGCCTATGGAGGGTTTTCTCGAGAGAGCTGCGGCTACTGAGAACAAAAATGTGAACACACACAGAAAAGGTGTTTTAAATCACAAAAACCCTCTGAGAACAGTTCCTCTCAAACCAGTTGAGTTTAGTGCCAGCCAGTCCCACCCCCCTCACCCCTCCCCACCCCGCAGATCCATCCTTGTTCCAAACAGCGCCACCCCCTCCTCCGCCTGACCACAGCCTGCCTCCTGCTGAGCCGAGCCCCCCGCCACAGCAGCTCCCTCCACCCACCTCGGCTCTGAACTAAGCTGGGGTGGGGGGGAGACGGGCCCCAAGGCGCCCTGGTGGGGCGAGGGCGTCTGGGGCGGTGCTACACCAGCGTGTGCCCCACTGTCCGACACTCCAGCCGCCAGCCACAGATGACTTCGGCCGGCGTTTTTCTCGTAGTAAGATTTTCTCAATGAGGGAAACAGCAAGGATTGACAGCAAGGTGACACGCTCTGTCCCGAAGTGAACAGTCTGCTTCGGGAATTTTCTCACCTCATGAGGGCAGGCTGCCTCGGCCATTGGGGCCAGAGACGAAAAGTGGCCACAGGGACAGGAAAGGGTGGGAAGTCACCACCGGATTCGGGGCAAGGGCCCCCACGCAGGCGGGAGCCTGCAGCCTCGAAGCCATGCAGACAAGCTGTGAAGCCGGGGGCAGAGGGTGGGGGCAAGCCAGGCCTGGGAACCCGGGAGTAGGGCACCGTCACTTCATCATGACTGACCCAGTTAGGAAACACGCTCGTGCTCACTGAGCCTCTCCAACAACAGGCTTACCTTCGTGTCTTCCTTAGTCTTTCTGACGTGTCGGTGGTGACCGAAAATGTTCTGCACCCCGAGCGCCTTCCTGGCCCAGTCCCTCTTCTGGGTGCTGGGCGGGGGCTGCGCGGGGCTGCCCTCCACCCTGTAGCGGTCGGCCGGAATCTTGCTCATGGGAGGGGGCAGCGTGCCGCAGTTGATGCTGGACCACCCGTCCGTGGAGTCCGTGTAAGACTCCTGGTCGCTGGCGTGGCCGCACTGCCACTCCTGCAGCACGTGGACTGGGAGCCACCGCTGGCTGAAACCACTGCCAGGGCCCCCGGCGCCCCTCTTGGAAGGGGGGACCGGACACCGCAAGGAGGCGGGGGGCGCCTCCCCATGAGACGTGGGCCCGAGGTGCTTCCCAAAGTCCCGGCACCTGTCAGCTTGCGGAGTGGCCTCAAACGGGGGCCCCACTTCAGGGTCGTGGCAGAAGGCCCCATTCCAGGAGGCGCCCCAGGGCTGGGAGCCCCTGGTGCCCATGCCCTCCCAGGCGCTGCTGCTGGGGCCGTGCCTGCTGGAGCCGGCGCCCAGGTCCACCACCAGCACCCGGCTGCTCCTCTCCTCGTGCTGGAAGTTGCCGATGCCACTGTCACTGTTGCTACTGGTGCTGGTGTTCTGGTGGGCATCCGCGTCCCCATCCACAAAGGCCCGGGCCCGCACCCCCTCGATCAGCTCGCCCATGTCCCTGTACAGCACGGAGATGAACTGGAGGACGGGGAGAGAGGACGCGGGGAACTCCAGGCAGCCGTTGGTGTCAGGGTCGGCCGTGCACTCAAACCCGAAGCGCCGGGCAATGCCCTGGTGGATCTTGTGACTGAACAGGTCCGGGTCCACCATGAACACGTGGCAGGATGTCCGCAGAGCGCCATCCTCCTCCTGCGCCAGGCTCCCATCATCGCCCGTTTGCACGGTCACCAGTCCGAAAAACCTCCGGTCGTCCGGGCACACGGCACTGAACGCCAGCCTCTCAGCCGGGTACCGGGCCAGGACGGCAGCCTTGTCGGTGCAGAGCTGGACACAGTCATGCATGACCTTCATGGTCACCAGAGAATGGATCCTCTGCTCGGCCCGCAGGCGCCGCAGGCAGCCCCGGATGGCCTGCACACTGTCCGACTCCAGGCTGCAGCCGCTGGATGGGAGCTCGATGGATCCCAGGTAGCCCACTACCATGGCCACGTTCAGAACGCTGGCATCCACCCCAAAGTCCTCATGACTCTCCAGTCCCACAGCAAAAACAGAATCGGCATGCACCACTTTCGCTGTCTCCTCCTTAGAAAGCAGGTTGGGATTCGGATCATTTATACTTTCATGCTCAAGGTCAAATTGCCCAGTGGCTGACTCCGAAAGGGACCTTTGTTTCAGTTTCAGAGGCTCGGAACTGCTGGCACGAAGGCCCGGGCTTTCAAAGATCATATTGAAAATCCCTCCCGACTGCACCTCTTCAACGACTCTCTCTGCCCTGTTTATACCTAAGGCCTTAGAATCAAGTTTGGGCTTCAGCCAGCCTTTTCCTTCATAAAACCCCACCTCCTCATCGCTGGAGCAGGACTCCAGGTGGCCGATGCCTTCACCAATCACCATGTGCAGGACCCCCGAACACTTCCCGATTAACTTCACGACGTCTTCGTGGGACGCTTTCTTCACATTGATCTCGTTGACAGCAAATATCTGATCGCCGGCACGGAGGCCCACGAAGTCAGCAGGGCTCCCTCTCATGACACAGCTGAGCACACAGGGCGCCTGGCCGGAGAGCGTGAATCCATACCCCGCCCTCCCTCTGGCGACCTCCACGGTCCTGACGCGAGGGGGTGCTGTCCCAAGCAGCACACGCTCCCCGGGGTCCCCGGCTCTGTACATCCCGGCGTGCTTCCCCAACCAGGAGCACAGCTCATTATTCCAGCAGGTCCGTGGGGCGGGGAATGCGTGACGCTATCATATTTCCGTGCAATAACGCCCTGAGGAAGAAGAATAAACAGCTCATTATTAGAGATCCCGCTTTTCTGCTGCTTACCAGCACTACCCAACATAAAAGGCAGTTCACAACGAAACCGTCAGAGGAAGAGTCTCTGGCTACCACACAAACGGCAGAGTGAAGGAGCAGTGGTATCTCTGTGCACCACATCTTGAAGTCTGCCTAAGATGTCTCCTTCCACAGTATAGAACATTTCCCAGGACTGCTGTCTTCCCAGCTCCGAGCTCACTGAGGCTAATCCCAGCCCAGGCCTGAGGAGCACAGGACTCAGCAGAATCTACTCCCTTCCTGTCTGGATGGAGAGGAGACCCCAAGCTCAGAATGTGGTCGGAGGGCAGCACCATCTGAGCTGCGGGCAGGTCCGAGTGAAAGCAGAGCTGCCTGCAGACCAGGTGGAAAGGCACCTGCGTGACCCCTGGTCCAGCCCCAACTCTGCTCGCAAACTCCCTCTAGGGGAAGTTTCTCCCCAGAAAGGGGCGTCGGCTTGCCTTCCCTGGTATCTCCCACCCTCCCTCAAGTAACTGACTTTCAGCAATGCACTGTGTGCACAAAACACATCAGTGTGAAATACGAGAGAGGCCACTGGACAGAACAGGTGAAACAGCCAGAAAGAGCAAAGGAATTTAATGCTCAGTTGTTCCGGGGGTGACTTTCCAATGAAAGGTACTTGTTGTCACTGAAACGAACCTGTGTCAGGGTGCCAGAGACCACCCCCGGCTCGATGACTCGCTAAGACTCGCAAACACTCAGGGCCATGATTTATCACAGGGAGAGGTTGCACAGCAAAATCAGGGAAGGGAGAGGCCGGCGGGGCGAGATCCAGAGGAAACAGGCCCGCTCCCAGAACCCTGACCCATGGAGTCACACTAGGCACGCTCAGTCCCCCGGTGACACACTGTGACAGCACATGTGGAGTGCTGTCCCCAGGGAGGGTCCTTAGAGACTCAGCACCAGGGCTCTTATCAGGGGCAGGTCCTGCGGGCCCCACTGCAGACACACACCAAACCCCAGCCCCTGAGGGGCGGGTGTCTGCTCAGCGGGTGAGCCCAGGGGGCCGCCCCATCGGTGAGGGTGCCAGGAGCCCTCCCGACATCCAAGCCCCGGAGCGCCAGCCCAGCGCCAGCCCGGCACCCGGGACTCGTGGAGGACAGCGGGCAGCCCCGCTGTGAGGACTACGTTCTGCACAAAACCCTTTAAAGATCACTTTAAAAAGCAATACACTAAGTGATTATATTGTGAAGATCTAAAATATAATAGAACATGCTTTTTAAGGAGTGTATGTTTTGTGTGTGGTGTAAGAGAGTGTTCTAGCTTCATTGCTTTACATGCTGCTGTCCAGTTTTCCCAGCACAATTTGCTGAAGAGACTGTCTTTATTCCATTGTATTTTCTTGCCTCCTTTGTCGAAGATTAGTTGACCAAAAGTTTGTGGGTTCATTGCTGGGCTCTCTATTCTGTTCCATTGGTCTACATGTCTGTCTTTGTACCAATACCATGCTGTCTTGATGACTGCAGCTCTATAGTATTGTCTGAAGTCTGGGAGAGTTATTCCTCCAGCCTCTTTCTTTCTCTTCAGTAATGCTTTGGCAATTCTAGGTCTTTTGTGGTTCCATATAAATTTTATTATGATTTGTTCTAGTTCTGTGAAATATGTCCTGGGTAATTGGATAGGGATTGCATTAAATCTGCAGATTGCCTTGGGCAGTGTGACCGTTTTAACAATATTGATTCTTCAATCCAGGAGCATGGGATATCTTTCCATTTTTTAAAGTCTTCTTTACTTTCCTTCATCAATGGTTTATAGTTTTCTCTGTGTAATCCTTTCACCTCCTTGGTTAGATTGACTCCTAGGTATTTTATTACTTTGGGTGCTATTTTAAAGGGGATTGTTTCTTTACTTTCT